AGGGCATCTGAATACTAGTTTAACTGACAGGCTTTTCTTGATGACAGGCTTCATCCTTTGCAGATCATGCAAGAAAACTCGTTCTATAGTATGGATGAAAAAAGATGGCCTCGATTTCGTTCCCGTGACAAAGCGTAGATAATTTTACGTCTTCCCAACAGCTTTTTACATTTTTGTATAGCATGCTAAGATATACATGATTTCCAAAGATTTATTACATCACTGCCTTCCCTCACAATCTTTGTTTGGATGCTTGGATAGAGCTAGTCAATGTCATGTATGATTCAATTAAGCACTGAAACATGTAATCGTTTTAAATGCAATGGAAAGCATATTGAAATGTACTTTGAATCCTATATCTGCCTGTTATATTTCATCTTTAGAATTTGAATCAATCCCTTATTTTAGTGTTAGGGTTATCGTTATTAGTCAATTTCCAAAGATTTTGTCTTTCAAGATATGAGAATAATCAATGGATTATTCATTTAAATGAAAAAAAAAAACTAATATCAGCAATTTATATTCCATTTCTAATCACAAAAATCAGCATATATGTTATCTTATAATCCCAAACTTTTCTATTTCAGAACCTTTCTCGAGTTCTGTTGTTAATCTTGGCTCTCCAAATTGTTTCAGGAGAATAAAAGTAAATGCTGAAGAAAAGGGAAATTCACTATCTGTATTCCTGTAATTAGTTGAAGGTGATAAACTTCAACCTTGTGTTTGCAGAATACAAGCTACGAGTTTTGGACCAACACCATGACAAACATGTTAAAAAAAAACAAAAAAAAAACCCAAGAAACCACCCCGTAAGACCAGCTGTAGACACAAATTTGTGGGGTTGGAATTTCTCCTAACCTCTCACTGCAGTTCCTGCTGTTTGTTTATGTGTTTAAAAAAAATTTGAAATTTTTTTATTTTTTTATTAACTTCGATTCAAATTAATATATTTTTAGTATTTTCAAATCATTTTGATGTGCTAATGTCAAAAATAATTTTTAAAAAATAAAAAAAATCATTGGCATGTATTTTAGCATAAAAAACTATTTGAAAAGCAACAGCAACCACACTTCCAAATAAGCTCAAAAATACCTAAAAACAGTGATTATAAATGATGATGTAAACATTACAAAGAAATCTAAGCTGTCAATTTTATAATGCATTTTTCACCGTGCAATCTCTTGTACATTACCACGAGTAGTGAACTAGTAAAATAGATTATAACTTTGAATTTCATTTAAAAAAATTTTAGTTTGGTCTTTTTTATTTTTCATTTCATAAGTGGGAACTTTAAATTTTATATAAAAAATAAATGGTAACTTTAATGTTTTAAAAATTAATTTTCATATAGAACTTTATTTTTATTATCTTTTAATTCTTAGTTTATAAAAAAATAGAACCATTAGATTTCAATGTCAAAAAAAAGAGTTACTGTTTACATGAATATTGACCATTAAAATAATTGAAATTAGTGTTAATAGGTTCTACTCAATGAAAAAAAATAAATTATAGTGGTTGTTTAGAATCTCAATATTATCTAAAAAATCTATCAAAATCAAGGGGGGGAAACTTTACCTAGTTTGATCTTGTAATTTCAACCTTTTTAGGATTTATTAGGTTAGTAAACTTGTTTCTATATATTCTAAGAGTATTGTAAGGTGTTCTTGGATTAAAATAAATTGAAAAACAGTGTTTAATGCAAAAAATACTCTGCTCTGATTTTTTAGTTACCATAATGGTGGCTGGAATTTAAACAGATAAATGGTGTGTCATCTAATTATTGTTTTTTAAAAATTATGAGTGGACAATAGTTCATTTTCCCTTTAAAAAGATAAAAAACAATACAAGCCGACTCTTTTTTAAATGCCCAAATGCACCCGCACCTCAACTTATTCTTTTTATCTTTTTATTTTTATTTTATAGTTATGTGTAAAATAAATTTAAAAAAAAAGAGTATTAAACCTGATTAAGTTTATGACTCAGATCGCAAGTTTGATGGATTAAGCAATAATATTTTGATGAAAAATGTATTTTTTTTCTTTTTAGTTGTTTAATGCATTTTTAATCCCTTTCACCATTTGTTATCAATGATTTCTTTATATATGTATATATTTGACTTTAAATAAAAAAAAATATAATTTCATCATTTGTTATTAATTATTTATTTTTTACTTAAAATTAAGAAGAAGATCTCTTTTTGTTAAAACTTAAAATGATTAGGCCTAGTTTTGCTATCTCAATCTAACAACATGTATTAGTTATTTTTTTCTTAAAAAAATAATTTATACAAAAAACTTATCATGTGTTTTATTGTCATATAATTAAATAAAAAATAACCTCTAGGATAAAAAATCTAGTATTGTGCATGATCTAAGTTGCCAGTTTTACTAGTTGATTCGAGTTTACTTATGTTTTTTTTTTAAATTGAGTATTATTCTTTACAAATTTTATCCTTTAACATTAAATTAATTGAAGATTGAGCTTTCTATTTTTTTTCAAGATTATCCCTACTGGTTTCATAGATCAACCTGAATTCACTTATATGAATCCAATATATTTTTGTCATAATATAAAATAAAAATATTTTTTAGTATGTAACAGTCTTAATATTCTTTTCAAAAAAAATATCATTTAATATGCAAAAAATTTTAAATTTTCAGTTATTGTTTTTTAAATAAATCATGTTAGCTATGCCAAAATATTTTTTTTTCTTTGTGCTTCAAAGTCGTAGTGTACCGCATATAATATTTTAGTTAGGGGTGTTTATAAGTATAATTGTAGTTATTTTTCAAAGTGATTTTCACTTAAAAACGTATCCAAATAATATATTTAAAAAGAATTATTTTTGAGATCAACGCATCAAAGTAATTTGAAAATACTAAAAAATATTAATTTAAAATAAAAAAATAAAAAACTTTAAAATTTTAAAATTTTTTAAAATAGTTTTGAAACATATAAATATAGTATTTATTCTTTTTCAATGGGCCGTATTCATGTTTGATCAAGCATGAATTAAAATAGAGTTTTCTACGGTAAAACAACAACACGGAGCTCTTCTACTTGATAGAATAATAATTAAATATTGATTAACGGTATATCTTTGACCCGAATTATAATCTGGGGCTTTGTTTACTGGGCTGGACTTACATTTCTTTTCTTTCTTTCAACTAAATTTGAGACCACGAGGTTGTCTAAGTCTTTTTGTTTTTTTCAATGGCCCTTATTCATGCTTGATCTTTATTATATGGGCTTGAACCAATTTTTTTTTGAATGCAATAATCCTTTTTATTTATCTTCCGAAAATAGAAAGAAAGTATTACTTGTATTCATCAAGAATCTAAAAATAAATGCAAATTATTATAGGTAATTATTATTAATTTGTATTCATGTCTTAAAGATTTTATGATCCAAAATGAGTAATTAATGATGTCCTATTAATTATTTCACCGGATACACTTTGAAAAAAAGAAAGAAAGATACATGTTAAGTGGAAGAAAATCAAATTTAAAACCCACAAAGAAATGATATGCATGTCTCATAAAAATATTACTTAACCATGCTTAGCAGTCTTGCATCTTATTATACAATAACCCACAAAGAATAGATTTGAACACGATATCTCTCTCGCAGAAGAAGGAAGGTAGCCAAATCGGCTTGCCATGACCAAAGATACTCGCCGAATTCACAATGCTAATTCAGATTAACAATTGTTAACGAAGTGGATTAGAGAGACAAGAAGTGAACAATGCCATTGCTTCTTTTGTCTCAGCTCATCTCTGATATGGCAGAAAATACTAACCCTACAGTTGTTAATTTTCTGCATAGCCTTGCTTCGTAAAAAAAATAAGAAACGGGGAAGAACTAATTCACTCGTGGGGTGGGGGATAAGTAAAAGTAAAACAGAGCATAACCTATATATTTTATAATCCTGTTCAGAAAGTGATTTAGTATCATTCTAATAAAAAAAATTATTATTATTATTATCCGGTTGATCGGTAAATCCAAAAAATTATTAGTTTAAACACTTCCAAGGCTAAACTTAAAATAAAGATAATCATGTAGCCCATAATTTGAAAGTAAGAGCGCAAACCAGAATCTAGCCCACAAGTAGAACAATCCAGGCCAGGCCTACACACACAGTCAAACCACTGTCAACTTATAGGCCCGAAATAAGAGAATAAGGCTGAACCAGGAAGATAGAATCCGTACATATATTGAAATTCAATGGTCATAAATTTAGAGACTAGAGGTGGGTTGGTTCACTTTAGTAAAAAGTAATATTTTCTTTCTTGATTTTTAAAATCAAGTTTATGTTTAGAAAATAATAAAAAAAATCATTAAATTCTCTTAAATATATTAGATTAACCATAATGATATTTATTTCTCCGGAAAATTATGTAGTAAAGCAGGGAATTTTAAAATGGTTCTTAATTTATCGTTCCTCATGAAGGTGGCCAAATCGGTTTGTCTTGATCCACGATCAAAGATACTCATCAAATGAACAATGCTAGTTCTTCCTAGGATATCTCAAACAACATTGACTCTAACTATTTATTAGGATCTTTTTTCTATCACGCTTATCCATATTTCTTCAACAAATTTGACTCAGTACACATATGAGAGTGCTGCAACAGAACAGTTGTTAATGAAGCGGATAAGAGAGACGAGAAGTGAACAAAGCCATTATTTCTTTTGTCTCAGCTCATCTCTGATATGGCAGAAAATAATAACCCTACAGAAGCTCTTGCAAAGACGATAGCCGAAGAAACCACCAAAACTAAAAAAGAAGTAGTGGGAAATACAAAGTCTGAGAAAGTAAATCAAGTAAAAACCTATGCAAGCATATTATCGATTATCACCTTCGTTCTTTCTGTTCTGATCCTAGCCTCCGCTATCTGGTTGCTTTACATGAAAGATTACGATTGTGAGAAACTCTTATGGCTACCAAGGTTACAGATTGGTATTGGCATTGGATTGATCTTTGTTTCCTTGATTAGCAACATTGCTGTGTTGCTGAGATCACGGTTTCCTGTGCCGGGATTCTTTCTAGTTATGGTGCCATTGATCGTGATGCTCACAATGGGGCTTGCACTTGTGGGAGCTAACAAGCTGGAAAGCAGGAGATTGATGGCTACACCAAAGTGGTTCAGAGAAAAAGTTCGCCATAATGACAACTGGGAAAATATTAAATCATGCATCTACAATACTGGAACATGCGATGATTTGGTGTCCAGGTCGTTGAATCTCAAAGCATTTGATTTCAGTATCAAGAAATTATCATCCATAGAGGTAGTTAGTTTCATTTATAGCATGCATGTTATATATATGTATGTGTGCATAGATTTGTTATATTTGAACCATCTTCTATGTATATCTTAACATGATATAATTTACTGTTGACACTTTACTATGATGCTTGCAATGAGTTTTATACCTGAGAAGATTTGTCGTTTCTATATTGAAATTGATATGTTTCCGACAAGATTATAAGAATGCATATTTTCCGCTCCAGTCAGGTTACTTTTTCAGGCATAATTTCTCAAGTGATCATATGCTTTTAGTTATTCGTTGATTTTATCGTAATGCCGGCAACTAGTTAATCACCTGATAAAAATCTTTAAATAAACCTAATCTCTTTCTTTAAATAATCCTAATCTCTTTCTTTCCTTAATCTTAGAAGAAGAATATCTTCTGTAATATCCGTATTAATTATAAGCTCTTTGCTTAGAAGAAGAATATCTTCTTTAATATCCGTATTAATTATAAGCTCTTTGCTTCCTCATTTAATACTTGTTATTTTGTTACATGGAAGGCTGGATGTTGCAAACCACCATCAATATGTCAAATGGAGTACGTGAATGCCACATTTTGGACAAAAGTTGAAGGGGCTGTGGATGAATCACAACAGCAATATAGCGACTGTGCTACATGGCAGAACGACCAAAAGATCTTGTGTTACAACTGTGGATCTTGTAGACATGGTTTTGTGAGAGTAATGGAAAGCAAATGGAGGAATCTTGGCGTCCTACTCATCTTGATGGGCTTACTTCTTATTATTGCTCATATATCATTATTCGTTATGGTTATGTGGGAGCACTACAATTGATGAAAATTAAGACTGCAAATTACTAATCTGTCTCCACCATTTCAAGAAAGAGAGGTGTTTCCTTATTGTGCAGACCGATCATTTTCAAGAAAAGGGTAAGCTTTTTTTTTTTTTAATCTTTTCAAAATAATTATTGTGTAATAAGGATGCTTTTCTTCATTTGTAATTTTGTTTTCGTTTTATGGTCTTGGTCACCTATGCGTGTGTGATCTTTCTTTTCTAAATTGTTGTTATTTTTAAATTTTTTGTTCTATGGTTTGAATTAGCACGTATTCGGGGAGTTTTTTTAGCAATAAGAGAGCACATTATTTTCTACAACAAGCTTCACTCAATCCCACCCAAAAAAAATAAAAGACAACTCGGATCAAGGGGGAAGGCAGGCTCCATGCTACTGCTGAGATTAATAACCCTTTCTATTGATTCAATAAGACTGATGAATGGAAAGAATGAAAGAATTCAATTCCTGAAGTCCAGTTTGATTCATCAAAGAGCTTGTCAAAGGGGATGCAAAATTAAAAGGTTCAGCAGATTGCAGCTTCTTGATGAACTACGTAAATTAAAATGTTTTAACAGATTACATTGCAATGCCATATGTCACTTTAGCTACCAAGTGAAGAAAACATCTAATCTATAATATACACAATAACATTTGAGGAATTATGCATTTTACAAATGCAGAGCAAAGTGGTAGGCAGCTAAAGCTTGTGAAATGCCTCTAATGAAGACTACTTCACGTTCACCTTGTAGCAACTGATGCCAGTCAAGGCAGGCAGAAAAGCTTCTGGATAGCTCCTGATCAAAGCTTCATCTTGCTCACCCCCGAGCATGCGACGGATCAAAAGGCCCTACCCATTGAGCAACACCACCAGTAGTAGACTTTGCTGCACCACCAAACCCAACATTGGACGCTACACTGTTGCTACTGTTGTAAGGAATTATCCCTTCCCCTGCTGGCCCAACACCCATGTGAACACAAGGCCTCCCATATCCATCAGGATATGCGTAGCCACCGATATATTGGTTTGGAGCTAAAAGGACACAGATCAGCACCAGAATTATGTTAAAAAAATAGTCAAAACATATTTCAATGGACGCAACCACCACATTTAGATATAGCTCAAAAAGTTACCACGTGCTCTGGTCTCAGCATTCAAGACATCAACGCGCAAATTTTCCATTTCTCTTGCCATCCCTATGAGATTCTGTTCCATTGCTCGCATTTGCTCCACCTTCTCTATATTTAATCCTTTTTCGTACTCGAATGTAGCTCTTTTCACAGAAAGAGCAGATGGAAAAAAAAGAAAGTAGAAGTTAGAACTTAATAAACTGTACATTGTATGAAAAAGTAGATGTATGTTAGAACTTAATAAACTGTACATTGTATGTCACAGTAAAAATATTTTAACAGAAAAAATCGAATCCTTATTATATCAATGAATGTATTTTTTTTCTTTTGCTGTTATTCAGCACCATTTCATCAGTGTACACTGCATAACCATCATGCTCACAGAGAAGACAAATACTGATGTTTGATCAACTTTTGTATCATCCATTACTTCCAGAGCTGATGCAAGTTTGCTGCAGTTAACCTTTTTCACTCCCCACTTGTATTTGGTTTCCTCACAAATCCTCCATTTACATTGCACATCATGCAATGTCACATAAATCAGGGGCTAGTTTAAATATTACAGTTGCATATGGCAAGAGAATTAGTATTACCCAACACGTTAGACTCAGAGAAACCTTAATTAGTGTGAAACAGAACAGTCAAATAAATAACCACACTGTGAAACCACCATTCAATGTTAGTATTACAATCATGATTCCTCAAAGATAACAAAAAGGAGAGAAAATATCCTATGCATTTAGGTCCTGAAACCATATCTCTGGATGATGGAGCCAGTAATTGGTGGTGTTTTGGATTATTAACAAACTCTAGTCAGTGGTAGTTTATTTCTAGTCTAGAATTAGACATCATGAAGGGTTCAGTGGCAGTTTCACTATTTAACACAGATTTAAGGTCCATGAGGAAGCAACAACTATTAAAAACTTGAGACAGATTTATTACTACCTTAACCTCTTGAGTTCATGCCTTGAATTCTCAAGCTCAGCATGCAAATCTGGTACACTCTTTACATCAGTGTGGATTTTCTGCAACTCGTGTGAAGCCTGTTGGATTTGTGTAGCAAGCTCTTGTCTTTCTTTGACCAACTTCTGTGCCTCCACATGTGCCTGTTTGAGGTCCTTTTTCACGTTCTCACCAGCCCTGATGTCTTTTTCCATTTTTGCAATTTTATCCAGCAAAACCCTGATCTGGATATCACTTTCAGTCTGGATGCTTCTAATATGCGCGTTGAGTCTTTGCACTTCCTGCTGAGCAGCAGCAAGGTCCTCCCTCAAGGCCATGTGACTAGTAACCAGTCTATTATTATCCCCTGCAAGTTGTTCAATGTCCGCAGCCTGAGCAGCAAGCCTATGCTCTAGAAGATCAGAACGAGAGAGTGGCTCTGATGTACGGTGGCCAGCAGGAAATGGACCATGACGCATCATCCCAGGTGCTTGGATAACACGCCCTTCTAAAGTTGGTGGAATATGCCTTCTTGCAGACATGACAATTGTCTCAGGTCTGCACAAGCATTAAGGTTTAATTTTCAATCAGAGTCCTGAGATGCAGATTGGTGTTTCAATCAGTCTATGGAATCACTCCAAGTGTGAAACAATGTACACTATAATGGATAAAAGTAAAAAATATCTATTCTATTTGCCATTTCAATCTACAGAAAGGTTCCCAAGCGTTCTAAAACAATTTGTTTCAACAATAGACACACATTCCCTCGTACCATGACCAAAACAAACCCATTTGGCCTTCAGGACAGTATCATTACAGGATTGTGCCTGTGATGCCAGTCTGCAGAATGTTTTAAAATAGCCAGCAACTAAAATCACCTCAGAACATATGAGACACCATTATACAATCATAAAGATTGACAATTGGATTACCTACAAACCATTTACATAAACAAGTTCAAATTGTCAAATAAACATCTCAACTCAAAAGCTTAAGCTATTAGGTGAGAGTTTAATATATGATTTATATTATTTTCTAAACAAATAACCCACACGCATAAACCCAAAGCTGAAACCACCATTTATCACCATTGTCATATCATTATATCATGTACACGCAATGCACCAGCAGGCACATCTGGTTCCATTAGCATATTCTTATTTATTAAAAAAAAAAAAAAACCTCAAATTTGAAACTAACGTTCTCATAGACTGTTAAGACTACCAAAAACCGAACAACCCAGATTACCAAAACTAAATCTCAAGTTCAAGTTCGAGATGGAGCATAATTCAAGGTTAAATTTGGGGTTTTTTTTACTCAGATTTTAAATAAGCAATCAATTTATTCAAGCCTATTCAAGCCTAACTTTAAGAGAATCACGAAATATATATTATTACAGATTTTCTTTTCCTTCGCTATCGATAGTAAGATCAACGTGAATTCAAAGCAAGAATCTATGAGGCCCAAAACAAAAAAACTAAAAATGCAAATTGGTATAGAAGGCAAAGGAGGAGTACAAAACTGTAAATATATGTGTAAAGAGAGAGAGTACCGGCGGCGGTGTTACCGTGGAGGAAGCGTCGAAGACAGGTAGGAATAGGGAGGGAAGGTTTGAGCTGATGATCAACGGGCCAAGCTCCAGTTATACAAGTTACAATGTCGAACAAGCAAACGCGTTGGTTATGAATTTATTTATTTATTTTTTTAGGGCAAATCTAAAAGAGTTTACTTTTATTTATCAAAATTTATTGCAATTACATTTTTTATTTAATAATAAATTACTTTTGGATTACTAAAAAAATTTTATATATCTTTTTTATAAAATTATAAATCTGGATATAAATGACTTGCTTATTAATATGTGAGGATTACTAAATATTTTCTTATATATAAATTTACAAGTTCATGAATTGACATTATCTTATGTCTTCTTTTATTATGTTTTTTTTATTAATTCTAAATTATTAAATTTAAATTGAATAAACATGATTTAGTGTATGATAAAATATTGATATTTTAATTCATTATATTTTATCTCTCTCATCTCATTCCATTAAACTTGATCTCAGTATATAAAAATATATCGCATGATACATGAATTATCAAAATCAAAAGGTGTAATATTCAAAATTAATAAACAGTTATAGTTAATTAATAATGGCCTATAACTTTATTTATCTTTCTATATTTCTATTTTAATTTAAAATCATATAATAAATCAATTTTATTAAAATATATCAATTATAAATCACAGGAACTATAAAAATAGAATTGAAACGGTAAATCCACACATTCACTCATGGTAATTTTTCTTAGTTCTTACAGTAAATGCATTTACAGCGAATGAATTTAGAACTCTTCTAACCCATAGCTGGCTACTTGGAACTAAGGTTATCAGAAAAAAAAAAGAAAAAAAAAAGAATTAACTTTTAAAATTTTATGAGTTAATATATTTAACATGTTAAAATTTAACTTTTAAAATTTTAAAATTTCATGAGTTAATATATTTAACATGTTAAAATTGAATTAAAACTTAAAAATTAATACAATTGGTCAAACTTGGTAAAATCTATAAAATCAGACTAATTTTACAAGTTAAAAAAATTATAAAATTATATATTTTTTTACTTTATACCTTAACATTTTTATTATTTTAAATTTATATCTTACAAAATTTATGCAATTTGATAATTAAGGGCTTGATTTTGGCTATAATTATTATATTTTTTTTAACAATACAAGTTATTTGTGGATTTCATTTCTGTAAAATTAAAATACATATTCATTCTTCACAATTTCTTATATAAACTATTAATATATCAATTGGTATATTACTCTATTTTAACATGTAAATATATAAAATAAAAGTTATAAATTGACATATTTGGTTATTGTAGTCTAAAAATTTAAAGAGACTCGTTTCTTGTAAATGACAAAATAAGTGGGTTGATTTATCTAAGAAGTAAAAGAATTAATATGAATAAAATAATGTTGTTTGGACTTTTCTAAAGTTTATTTTAATTTTATTATATTGTTAATTTCTACTTGATTGAAATTATTAATATATAATTAGTTAAAATATTTTACTTATAATTTTACAATTCAAGTTTATATTATATATTTTATATTATATTAAAAAATATTTTTAACAATCTTGATTAAAGCCCTATAAGATTCCAGTTTGAGAACCCTATGCTGCCTTTGCTTGAATGCTTATTTATAGGGTAAAACTAATTTAATGAAAATATTAATTAGTTGGTTTTTGAAATTTATTAATAAAATTTACTTATTTAATAT